AATTATCATTGGATAATTGACGTTTGAAACATATATTCTCTTACGTAATACATGAAGAAACTGCGCGCTTTCTTTGCCGAGCTGCACTTAATGCAATGATTTTACACATATTCTGCTCAACCTGCTATTAAAGTATTGTTTAGTGCAAGTGGCAAGTCGATTGCTTTTATTATTTGAATATGTATAAGAGGTCGAGTGTTTTCATTGAAACAATTTAATATAATAAACTTTTTTTATGAACAAAATTTATAATTCTAATTATTCTCTCACTGGGCACCCAATGACACTCACAGGCATGTATAATTGTTTACTATAATTTACTTGGTCGGTTCTTACGACACCCACGGGATGAATTGGGGTAGTGACATTCCGTATTATTACTTTACTATTAGTATTCCGTCACTACACGGACAGTGTGTCGTAAGAACCGACTAAGGGCGCAAAACAACGCAGGACACTAGCACTGCAAAAAGACGGAAAACTTGACACAAACCCTATAAACCCGCCTGGCCAGCGTGGTATAGTAGGCCAAAACCTTCTTTCTAAGGAGAGGCCTATGTCCAGCAGTGGACTATTAAAGGCTGTTGATGTGATGTGATAATTTACTTTCCAAAAAATATGTATCGAAAATTGGTCAGGAAGTAAAATCATACAGTTAGGTATATACACATACTGTATTTTGTCGTATAGGAAGCCTTAAACGATACCTGAGGCAGATTTTAATATAAATATAAAACTTAATCATGCATGGTTTAATATAAAACTTAATCCATAAAGTATAACCGGGTGGACTTAAATACATATATAGTTTAGTATATTTATAGTTTAGTTACGGCAGTTACGTTGAATTTGTTATTATAACCAAAATATTTTGTTTTCGCAATGCTCCGTTTTCCGTGAATCTACCTACCTACTTACTGTTAACTTCCTACCCGAGTTTTACATAAAATAAACTAATAGTAGTTTCCAACGAATTAACTATTTTCTTTTCTATATCTTCAACCCAGAATGTTAGTGCTTATGTAGTCAAGATAATAATTACCTTACTATGGAAAAAGGAATTAGAGAAAACGGACTTTATTTAAAAAAATATAAAATGTTTCTATGTAACAAAAATAATTCCAACTCTTACATTAACAACCATCAAATCAGATTCCGATTATATTTTGAGTTCCCCTAGGGAACTAGACATATGGCCGATAACTAGGTCCGATACGCATAGTTTGGCATCAAATAACAAAAGCTGGTACGTCATACTTATCAGTTACAATTTATTTCACGTACATTCCTAGAATAATTGTGTTTTTTACTTTTTTCTACAGTGCATCTGTTATTTCGTGTGCGGCCTTATCTGACTGAGTTTTAGTATAACGATAAAATAACCGGATATGATCGTTAAGTGATAAGAGAGCTTTATTTTACTTATTTTTTTGTGGTTACTGTGGGGTCTGGTTTTTGTATTTTGGGGATAAGTGAAATGACTAATAAATGGAACATTAAGGTTCGTAACATAATATAATTATATCATGTTTACGGTACAGTGCCTCGTAGTTATTTAAACAGTATAGAGAGCGTTATTATCAATTTATTAGTATTTAATTATTATACTAGTTAGGGCAACTGTTTAAGAAGTTTAGTTTTAGACAATCCTTGTGTTATCAAAGGTATGTAAACACACAATACGAGTTCTTAAGAATTAGTCACTTTACTTCAACATTTAAAATAGTCAAGGGACACAGTATTATCCTATCTTGGACAGATGATGGTAAAAAGAGCTCGGATTTTCACGTTTTGAGCTTCACCCCCAGCGTGCGAGCGCGTTAAGATTCACTATACTAGTAATCCATATTTAAAATCCCAAATACTTAATATCTTGACTATCTTACTACAAGTTCATCATCATCATTAACAGCCTATAATAGTCCACTGCTGGACATATGCCTCTTCTTAGAAAGAAGGTTTTGGCCTAATATACCACGCTGGCCTTTCCTCTCTTTGTAGTGCTGTTGTCTTGCGTAGTTTGCGTACTACAAGTTAGTGAGATAAAATCCTGACACCAACAATAAAGGTTAGATTTCTATTATTTAACAAGTAACCCTATCATTATTTAAAAAAACCTTTATAAAATAAATCGATGCTCGATGTTTTGAAGTTGAACAGAACCAAACGACATCGTGCGCCCACACCACCAATACAACGTGTCCGCACGAAAGTGGATCATAGCACGTGCAGTTAACTCCAGTCGCTGTGAGCATGGCCCTAGTCACGTTTGTACCAGTCCTTAGTAGGGCTGTGCCGCCCGGATGCGATCGGGGACATAATGAGGCGGGCATACCAACATTGAGGATTGGATGGTTTAATTTTTTTTTTATGATACTTTCTATTGGGCAACTATTTATCTTACGAAGTTTAATTTTTAAATATTCAAATACACATATCTCTTCTATACTTTATCGTGTAATGTTTATAGGTTTTGCTAACAAGTTAAGAGCTGTTCAAGCAATAAATAGTAATTGATGATAGTTTTGTGACACCCCTGCATAATACAGTACTCGTGTTTCAGTAATATCTTTATCGTATAAAAAGAAAGAAGGGTTTTTTTTTCTATTTGAATGACAAGCTGGATTTCGACTGGAGTGAAATGAAATTGAATATAACTTAAATACTGTTTCTGCTTTTTTCGAGGCCGTTTCGCTACACAAGTTTAGAAAACAAAGTACTAACCTCCAATTTGTTCTACAAGTGTGATATTAGCCTCAATAAAAAGAATATTGTGACCTTTTAAGTTTTAAATAACCCATTAAGTAGTAAGGTTCCCATAATCTCTTAGACAAAAGTAAAATCCTGAATCAAAAAGACTATATATTATCTATTTACGTATCCTGCAACTACTTCGTAACCACTAGACCAATAAGAGAGCCGGAAGACATTACCACTGATTAGATACATTTTTTTGTAGTGGCAATAAATTTTCATAAAAAAATATATTATGCTGAAGCAGCAGGGAGACGTGTAAATGAACCCTAGGGTGATCGTTCCAGTGAACACAGTTATACAGTTCAAGTAACGGCTGTTATTAAACGAATGACTACTGGCTGGAATCAAGAACCATGTTTATTTTTTTAACATGGCTGATGAAAAAAGCAAATAACTTAACACAATTGCTTATTATTTTTAAAACATGTTGGAAATAATTCTCGTATAATTTACCGGAAGCCCATAAATAAAAGCATTACCATCTACATCACTTACAATTTGTCAGTTTCATTTAAACCACAAAATGAAATTAATTTAGTTGCTAGTTCATATCTGTTTAACATGTGGAGAACCCCACGTGACATTACCAAAAAGGATTAGCTATGAAGTGGTCTTTGGAGTCAAACCTATTAGACCATACTATGTTTCAATACAAATGGGTCTATTTACCTATGGCAAGTTACTCAGATGAGTATTAAAAGTATTAAAGAAAGTATTAAAATAAGGTAGACAGGATTGTCCGTGTGGCGGCGGATTAAGAATACGGAGTGTCACCATCCCTATTCATTCCGTGGGTGTCGAGCAAACTACACAGGACAACTCGGTGCAAAGATTAGAAAAACTTGAAATAAACCCCTATACCAACCCGTCTGGCCAGCGTGGTATAGTAGGCCAAAACCTCCTTTCTAAGAAGACGCCTTTATCCAGCTATCCAGCAGTGGACTATTAAAGGCTGTTGTAGTATCTAAAAGACGATTCCTAATTCTACTAATCTATAATGCATTAATTCACTTTTTGAAAATAGATTTTTTAAATAACTATAATTTATATAGTCTTATCAAGTTGTTTTAGGTCATGCACCATTGCAAAGGTCTTTGACTTATAACTTTAAAAAAAAAGCGAATAAACACAAACAGGAAGCATTTAAAACAGGTTTGTAAGGAAACACTACATATTGAAAAGGACAAGGAACTAAAAATATTAAAACGAATGTATGAACCTTTCATTTAAAAGCATTATGCCGACAAGGCAATTGATAATTATAGTGTTAATTATTGTTTATGATAATATATATATATATATATAAATAAACTTACATAAAAGTGCAATTGTGTTTGACACAGACTAAATAAGAATATAAAATAAATACTTTTATTTCAAATGAAAGCTAAAAGAGCTGAATAGAAATTTTAAGCAAGGACGTTCGTTTCCCTACGGTCAAACTAAAGAGTGACGTCACAAATTTAAATACATATTTTGCTTCTGAAACCACACACATTAGATATTTTGCAGAACACCACAATTCCTTTTTTTATCAACTTATCATGCCTAGGTCAACATATACTGATAAGTGTTGCCGGTAACGGCACATAATATGTTTATATTGTATATATACAAAACAAGTAAGTTAGTACTAAAGTAAAAATTTCGTCAATAATACAGCTAGCCTACATTCCTGAGCGGCTCCTGGCCCGTGAGTGAGGGGTCGATGAACTGGTAGCTCACGGGGTGATGATTGGTTAATTGTTTGATGCAACATCTGTCGGACTTTCCACCGGAGCTTATTACATCCGATTTAGTATTTAGTTAAGAATGATTTGACATTATTTATATGGTTAATGTGATAGCTGGTTAAAGACAGAATTCATATGTAACTAAATAAGTCAAAAAATTGAGACAGTTTAGGGACATTATTATCTGAAGCATTTTGTGCAACGAATCTTCTCTAAAAACACGCATCAAAATGTTCGTGAATACTTAAAAACCGATACTTTACAAGATATTATATATTTTTCGAACTTACATTATATAATAGAAGGTTTACCACCTTTTAAAATTTAAGATTACAATTTGTCAGACTCAAAGAAAATTTGTTTAACCTGTGAATCGAACTTTACTTGTACGATTACCTCACAACAAAAGCAACATGTCTAGATAATTTGGGAATAAACACATAAATTATTTAATTTATGTATTTTATATATCTAATTTAATACAAAAATAACAATGTTTATTTTACTTACCACCAGTTCCAAGCACTTTGAGCAAGTCAAAATGTGATATGTCCACTTTGGATGCGCCGTTTAGATTAACTGTAACAAAATAAACAAACAGAATTAATACAAAATAAATCATTTTTTATATATGTATTTGCCCCATGTATATAATTTACCGGCTATCTCCGTGATTGAACGAGCTCTCTTATGAGGAACAGAAAATGAAACAAAGATAGTATGTATTATTTGGATTGATAGATTGTTTAACACTTTTATTTAGCCTGTTGCTTCAGCAATAAGCCATTTTAAAATGCGATTTAACGTAGATACCTGAAGGATCCTATTAATATTATGCCTCCTCGACACAATCATAGGACCCTATGATTGTGTCTACGTGTGCCTGTCTGTGTGAGTTAGTTTCTATTATTTTCTCCACACTGAAATACCCAAACAGATTTTGATAAAATTGACTAGACATGTCAATAGCATAATTATTGTTAAATGGAGAAATGAGACAAACTGGGCGGAGACGCATACGCGAGTTAATACATAAACAGTGTCATGTCGACATAACACATGACAACAACGCTAAATGTATGAAACCGATAATTGCCGACATCACACAAGACAATAAGAAAATCTGTAGTGCGTTTCTACCTTTAAATTGCATTATACTTAATCAGAAGTAACTGTATCAACCAAACTCTACCATACTTAGTATAGTGGTTTCTTTTCTTTGTTTCCTTCCTTTTAAAAAGACAATTCTCGCACTAGGAATATATGCTTTACACACAGAACAACAATTTGTTGATCGCACAAAGCGTTGTCCCATGAGAAGATTGAACCCACAACACACAGCCCCGTAGGAAGCGGCGAGGTGACCGCTTAAACCACTACGACATCCATGCAGTCATGGGTATAGTGGTATCTGTGTACACATAGCAACAATAATGGTGTTGCATTCTTATTTACGGAATTGTCACAAATGACAATTAGTTTGTGCGATTTCCGCATAATTGTGAACTGTATCAGTATGATGAGTGCAATGGGAGAGGCCTATGTCCATCAGTGGACTGCGATAGGCTGATGATGATGGTGATGATGATGATGATGATGATCAGTGTGATGGGAAAACCAATGCGATAGGTAGATTGCCTCATGTGTATGTTGGATTTTCATTAAAAATAACGCAAAGCCAAAACCGCTGCGGCTACAAACTTGAAATTTTGGCAGCCGATATTTTTTATGTTTTAAGCACCTCCTCAGAAAAGGATTTTTGGCAATTTCTCTCATAAAGAGGTAAAATAAGGGATAAACGGTTTTATGGAAGTTCGTCATTTTCAGTTAAAAACACGAAATAAACGCCGCGAGCCATAGCTAGTTTTAAATAAAAGTGTTTGCACACGTTTGAATTTTATTTAAGTGCGTTAAGCACGATTTGATGACGACTCGGACACAATTATATTTAGGCACATGTCCAAATTGTCATTTTGTAATTATTTTTTTGTCACAAACAATTTGTCAGAAACTTAGGCCCTTCCTAGAATATGAATAGTACTGTATGTTATAAATCTGTTCAATAAAAAAATGCTAATTCTACTCATTGCCTATACGAATTTTATCAACATAACGATTATAAATAATATTTCTATCAAAATTTATATCACTAGGAATATACACAAATTTTAATTTCTGATTATAATTATCAATAACAAATTAATAGTTGATTTATCATTGTGTTGTAATATTATTACACTACTCGCATCTCTGGCGAATAGCAGTTGATAACAAGGCTATATCAAGGCTGGCAACGCGCTTGTGACTCCTGAGTTGCAGGCGTTCATGGGCGGCGGTAGTCGCTTTCCATCAGGTCTGCTTGTTTGCCCCTTTTTCCATAAAAAAAAACCATTAAAATATACCATGGCAGTGATTATACCAGGACCAGGAAAACCTTAAACTGCGTTCTTTTACTTTCTTTCAACAATCGTCATCATTGTCCCGAAAGATAACTGACATAAACGCGGGCGTAACCGCAGGCAAAAGCTAGTGTTATATAAATGAAGTAACAATCGTAAGCATACGGGATTATGAACAGGCTATCATCTGCACGCAAGTTTAATGAACAGATATCAGATATACTGAATAATAGACGTATTGGTCGGTGATGACATGGTCTGTTGAGCGTTACCCACGTTACGGTAACGTACTTGATATGGTACGATGCGCGAACCGGGTGTCTTAACACCGAAGCCTGGGGTACAGGTGTCTCAATAACGGTATTCGAACATTGTTGCTGTACTATTACACAATTCAAGAAAAATATCAAAAATATACCGTATTATAAACGTAAAAACGCAAATAACCAAAAGCTGTTATTTAAAATAACTGTACGCAGTGAAATGGATACCGTTATTGGTACGTTAGTGACGTTTGCGTCAGAGCAATTTCACTTTTACCGATGGGTCTGCTTTGAATTCGCTATCACATTTTCTCATAAACTATTAGTTTAGTTCGAAACATCTTAATTCATTAATGACAGTTTTATCCGAGTTTTTTAACAAAACTATTCTATTCAATAAATTAAACCATTAAATAGGGGCCAGATTAGTTCCTTTTTCACAGGCCAGGTGGAGTGACAATCTGCGCAAGCTGTCTGGCTGGATGCCGAAAATCAACCTAAGTGGAGTGCAATGGGAGAGGCATATGTAAAGCAGTGTACTGCGATAGGCTGATGATGAGTTTCTTTTTATTATTTTAAAATTTTTGAATTTTGAAAAATAATTGGAATAATAGAATTTAGATAGTTCTCTAATGGTCCTGATGCCATTAAACGGAAACGAGCAGACGGATCACCTGATGGTAAGTGACTACTGTCGCCCATGGACACCTGCACCTCAAGACTCACAAGTGCGTTCCTGCCATTTGAGCCTCCTCCCAGAATTGAGGGGATGAGTTTTTGGTCGATTCGTGACCCACATAATCATCCCACCGGTGGATGGTATCCGAGGGAATGTCCGAACAGAGAAGTTGCCGTGAGTTTGTTTGCCCTTTCTTCTCATAAGTCTCAACTCCTTGGAAATGGTCGGTTGTTGATCGGTACAGGCATATAAGAGATTTTCGATATGTAGGTATATATTTAGTTTGCTAAATATTTGAAAAAAAAAAACAGATTATTGCTATTGTGTGTTGATCTGTGAGTCAAGTACAAGAGAAGATTTCAAATAATTTTATGAAATAAGGATGTTTGAGTTTGAAAAATAAAACGGGAGAGAGGAGGGGGAATTTGTGCCTCCTGTAACCTAACTCACTCAGTGAAAACCAGCGATAGATTTACTAAACACTGATTGTTAGTAAGGCCGTTATCACTCCGGTCGAGCCGGCCATATGCGCCGAAATATGGCTCTTGAACGATCAAACCAGTTACAAGTGAATCGAATTAATTTGTGTCAATAAGTAATTCATAATACGTTAATATGTAGACTAAACTATTTTGGTAAAAAGGCTATCTGTGAATAAATTTAAAAAAAAAAAACGTTATTCATTATTTGATTTTCATATAATACAAGTATGTTAATGAATATAATATCGACACCTGAATAAATGGTGTGTGGTGCCACTGATAACTACTGGGGTTTGGGGTTGTCAGCATTTTTAATATTAAACACGGTGTTTTCGAATATATTATTATCTGTAAAAATACAGTAAAAAGATAGAGATAGCGCACATGTTATGTTTTAAATTAGATATTCATATTTGTATTAATAAGTATTATTTTATCATACGATAGTAGTTTGACCCTTACATAGTAGTTGGTAGAACTTTATTGACACCTGCGACACCTACCTACGTTTATAAATACTTGTAATTTGAACAAATGTTTTTAGGTAAATATATAAAAAATGTGTATTATATAGCTATAAAGACAGTGAGTATGTTATCCTTTCATATTGTGATAACAATTTACATTAGAATTGAAGATAAACAATTCATACACGCAGCAATGTTTTGCGTCTGCAAAGTCAAAGGTTCATTGACACCACACTAATTATTTAATCTGTGACATTGGTGTGCAAAAATATAAATTGCCATTCGAGAAAATTGTTCATGTTTTTATTTTACCTGTAGTTCTGAAATACAGAGAGTGTGATGAGTAATATGATAATTTATAATAAGTATTGGCATTTGTTATTTTAATTTAAACCAAAAACCGAAAACGGCTGCAGCTATTTCTCAAGACTGTTACACTAGATATAGAAACAGCTATTAATGAACTGAGTCAGACCAGGCGCAGACACTCGCAAAGTCAATAGTACGTCGACCTAGTATTTACTAATTTATGTTTCTCAAAGGTCAAATTGCTAGTTTTACCTTACAATACACATAACACAATATTAAATAAACCCCCGACATAAGAAAAAAACAGTATAAAGCTAAACATGGTGTAATTTTCTGAGGAGTGTGCTATACCGCAGACTACTTGATGCAGCAGCAAGTAGTCTACCATGTCAAGGAAATACTATCAAAGTAACAGAGTACCAAATTTCAGATCAATCGGACCCGTGGATTTTAGTGAGATCCCTTTCATCACCTAGGAAGTTCAGATAATCTTCAAAATTTATAGCTAAGAACTATCTCGATCACATCGGCTTTCGGACAAGAAAACCGCATCGAAATTGGTAAATCCGTTCGGGAGCTACGATGCCACAAACAGACAGATACACAGGTTATACTTATAACACCCCTCGTTTTCCGTCGGGGGTTAAAAGAAACTCAAAAATATCTCGAGTAGGTAATTCATGTCAATTTTTTATCGTATGGCTGGCCTTTTGGTCTAGTGGTTAGTGATCGTGACTAAGCTAGTAGTCGTGGGTTTGATTCCCACCCACCACCACCATTTGATTTTCTTTGGAACGAAGTACCTTATTGAGCGTTACATACTCAGAGCGGATGGGAACGAAACAGAAATGTATATGTGTTATATTTATTAAGAAATATGTGTGCCCGGTTGACGGAAATAGTCTTGCTATTATCTAAGTGGAACTAAAATTATAGTTAGCAAAATGTGCGTGTTTTAACTCACCCTACCTAGTCTAGAC